TTGTGACGCATGCTTAAACTCGATTTAAATTAACATGCACTGGAGAATCTTGAGCTGGGTGTGCGACGGAGTCTTTTGGTTTCCAATACGTTTTTTTGAGATAGTCGTAAGCCGCAGTTGTTATACATAGACAGTTAGCCTGCAAGTCAACAAACAGTAATACTTGCTGATCGCTATTATTGCGTCTAATTGTTTCTATTTGCGAAGATGGCAAAACAGTCATTACCATACTTACTAGAAATCGAATTTAGCTAGGAAAAGTACATACCGTAAAATTCCGAAGATAAGCCCCGGAACTTATATTTTTCAAAGGCCCTTTTCGAGGGGCTTATATTCGGAGGGGCTTATGTACGGGGGGAAATTTGCGTTTCAAAATCGATTGGGCTGGCCTTATTCTTCCTTGTATTTGAGGGCAATTTCTAAGTACAAGCCCCCGGGGGGCTTATATTTTGAGGGGCGTTTTAACGGAGGGTTTTTTGCGTTACGAGCTTGGGGGGCTTATATTTGGAGGGGCTTATACATGGAGGGGCTTATTTTCGGAATTTTACGGTATATAGTAAAAGTGTAAACGGCGTGAACAGTCACTATGAGAGGATAAAAGCATCTTAACAACAACATTCAAGAAAAGCGGAACAATTTTGAATTTAAGGCGAATACTTCTAAAAATCTATTTAATGTCTTTTCCCAACTTAAACTGTACCATGGTGAGAAAGTTATCTTGCATTGCCTGGGCTCTGTAAGAACTCATAAGGTGTTATGAGTTTCTGGCTCTGTTTAATGGCATAGAAAACAATTAACATCAGGATGGTTAAATATGGCTGCAGCAAATATACCTCTCACCCTTAAATGTTTCAAAGAATAAATCAAGTTCGGTTCACATTATAATTCAAAAGAACACCTCAAACAAGTTAAAGGAAAATCAGTCGCGGAACATTTTTTTAGTTAATATTTTAACGTGAAAGGTAATCGCCTCCTTTAGGGACGTGAATGTAGAAAATACTTGTAAGTTATTCGAAAGGTCCAACACTGTTACGTCAATCATCTTTGGAAAGGGATATCATGGACCCTGTAAGAGGCTGAGCATGTCTTGTTTTTCATGCTTTCTCTTNGGGGGGGGGGGGACCCCGTCCGAAAGGGGTGCCATTTTCAAGCTTCAGGTATATGAAAGGGAAGGAGTTTGTGTGAAAGGGTAAGGAAATCTAGGTTTTTAAAGGGCCCTTAAGTGATATGTTCTGAACAAGTTCACCTTAGATATAATGAAAAGAAGAGTAAGAGAAAGAGGCACCAATAGAAGGTATACGAAAGGGGTACCTTTTTTGTCAAAAGAGGTATATAAAAGGGTAAGGGGTTGGCCCTGGGGAAAGAGCCTCCCCCTGTAACACTTTGTTAAGTACCTCCTCCTAGGGGGGGACGTGGCGGTATTGCATATTTTCAAGGCAAATAACGTTACCATGAATGGCGCGGCAGACGCAAGTTCTATTTTAAAAAAAACATGTCTTGCATCAGCCGCTTAAAAATGTGCGATCACTCGCGTGTGTAAAGAAGTGTTATATTAAACTCCAGTATAATAGCCCTCTAACAAATAATCAAAATTCATAGCTGAGGGACATAAAACAAAAAAAGAGCAATGAAATTCACAGATGATTAATTCATTTCTTTTGTTTTATTCCGCTCACGCTCGAAGCCAAGAATGAATTTTGATAATAGGAAACTGGCCTGTTGCATGTAACAGAAGCTTTCTCTCATTATAACTATTAAAGCATGTATTATCTCGTCTCATTTTAATTGAGCTAGGTTAACATGGAGCATTTCATCAAGACTCTATTGTTGCTGCTTGCTTTATCGTTGGCCATGGGGAAACCCGGGCCAGATGACTGGTCGACGGAAAGGGACTGGGCTGAGGAATGGGACGAGGATGACGTGTGGGACGATGAGGAATGGGATGACGACGAATGGGACGATGAGGAGGACAACAACGAATGGGACGACGGCGAATATAGCGAAAATGAATGGAACGATGGGGTCGAAGATGAATCGGAAGACGCCGAATTGGACAATGAGGCCGAAGATGAATCTAACGAAAATGAATTGAACGATGAGGTCCAAGCTGAGTCTAACGAAAATGAATGGAACGATGGGGTCGAAGAAGAATCGGAAGACGCCGAATTGGACAATGAGGCCGAAGATGAATCAGACGATAACGAGGAGGCCAGGGACGAGGATTCGGAAGATGATGAAGAGCAACAAGACGAAGAAAGCGATAAAGCTGAGGATGATGAACCGAGCGAGGACAATTTGACAACCAACACTGATGCTCAAGGTAGTTATTCTCATTACCGATCGCCCCTCTTTCTTTCTTTTAGTGTTTAGAGAAAGTAATGGCTGATCATGGCAGTATCACTCGCCAAGGGTTTCCGTAATCTTTCCCCGATCCTTGACTTCGGAATAACAATTTGACTGAGCAGCTGTGCTATACTGCCCACCCACCCCTCCCCTAATTCAAGCTCAACCTATTCTCTCACTTAGTGCAAATTGTTGGGTCAGGGGAGGGGTAAGTGGGAAGTTTTCCACAATCTTTTATTGACCCAAAAATGGATTGATTAAGAGAAGAGGGACTCTCTGCCGTGTCAGCGATCTAAAAGATCTTAATTTGCAAAAATTAAACTCCTGACACAGAGAAGTGAATTAAAAACATAAACTCAGCCAAACTGTAAACCGACTTCGGATATTTTGTTCTATTTTCTTCAATGACCACTAATTCTTCAAGAACTTTGAAGAAAACAATTGTGCTATTTTCAGTACAATTGATTATTATTATCATCGTTATCATTATCATGATCATCAATGATGATATTAATAATGATTATTATTTTTTTCATAATTCATGTTTGTTTTACTAAAACACAGAACTCGATGACAAGTTCAAGAGTTTGGAGAGTGCATTTGAGACTATGAGGAAAGGTGAGGATCCCGATTAGTAATAAGAATCAACGTTTTCCTTTTACATTTGAACTAGTTTTCCCCTCCGTTAAAGCAAAGGAAATAGAACACATCTGCACGAGGCTAGTTTAATATACTCTGTATAAAACCTGTTCTATTTCAAGCTACGCGGCTTTAAACGAGTGTGTGTCAATGATGTACAGTTCACTCTTGTTAATATTGTCAAATACGCGCCCCGAATTCGGCACAGAACTTGAAGTTTGCTAATAAATTACTGCTAAATTACAAAATCACAGCTTTGTGACAAACAGATATGTCTTCTGAGCATTATGTCAAACGTTGCAAACAACAAAAGTGAAGTTTGAGAAATTGTCAAAATCCGTCATAATCTTGTTCAGCGTTGTCCACCTTACCTTCGACTGGTCGCAGTCTAAATCTTGTAGATCACGGGCGTACTTGATATAACTACTACAAGTGTGGCTATTATTTTTGGACTCTGAAACAATGGGCACACTTGTTAATTACACTTTCAGTTTCACTGTTCAACTTCCTGTTTTACTTTCTTTTTACTTTAAAAGAGCTCGATGAGATGGAGAGGCAGCTGGATGAGACTGAGAACACTAACTGAAGATAAATCTGGGTTTTAATTTATCTGAAACAGCATTAGCTGCAATAATCTTTAATTACTTGTATACGTAACTTTAAACCTGGAAATCTCACCAACCCATTCAAGTTAAACAATAAAACGACAATAAAGAGAAAAAGTTATTATCCCCATCAAAAAATACTCCTCGATATTTTTCCTTTAAATACTCTGGATTTTATCATGCAATTTATTAATTCGCAAAACAGGGTATAATTCACAGGGTTTTATTCACAGAACAGGGTTATGTTTTATTTCGGAAGTTTAATCACAGGGTTATATTCTGCGTTTTTTCCTAGGCTTAAACGGCAGGGTTTTATTCATGGCAGGATAGGATTTTAATTCGGGATTTTTGTTCGTAAGGTCGTAGTCACAAAATATTCACAGGGTTTAATTAACAGAACAAGGCTTAATTCAGAGTTATATTCAAAGGGTTTTATTTTACAGGGTTTTACGTAGAAGAATTATTTGGAGAAAGTTAACCAGTTCCCTTGGACAACTTTTTGACGTTTAATTATTTCCGCAATTTTAATTTGTGAAACATAAATAAACTGTTGCATTGTAACCTTAAACCAAGCAATGCCGAAACTTTATTTTAATTAGTTTGCTTACCCGAGAAGGAAAAAATCACATGCTCTAAACACTTAAGCTTAACCAAAGTAATTGTAGCAGTTTTAAGAAACAAAAGAAGTTAAATCACATCTGTCAGGCCTGAAGATCAACTGTCTGGTTGTTTGTTCTAGGGGATCATTCACTTTAGCTTTCATTAACGATAGTGGTTCACTTAAAAATATTGAATCGCAATTTCTAAATTTCTATCAAATGCAAACTTATGTTGCAATCCACCACCTGAACGATCCAATCCTTTCTTTTTAAAGCTAGGGGACTGGGTTCGACTTTGCTCCAACCAAGAGGAGATGGAGTATAACTCAGCCTCCAATATTTGACACACAGTTGTAAACCGTCCTCTCAAGATAAATAATTTACTCAATTTCTTTCCTGCCCTTCCATGCCTAACATTTTACGGGCTGCCTTTCCCCTATATTCGCAAGGTTCTCCGATAACCGTATGTTTAAGTTGGACCGATAGGATTCCATCGAACAAAGAAAGTTTATCTGCTAAATTTGAACTCTTAGTTGTTCTAACGATCAGTCAGCAGGATTTTTGAGGCAATCTGAAAAAAGCGATAGTTGAACCCAGGCCACCTTCGCTTTAATTCCCAGAATTCCAGAGACTGGCCGTTTTGAAAGGGGTAATTTCAAGGGTGAGGGATAACTTCTTCTTCTGCACACACTTAGGAAACCAAAGGTGTAGTTTTCAAGCGAATCAATGGTGTCCTGAGGAAACAGCCGAAAAAAAACAGTAACATTTATCCATACCACGGTGACTCTTAAACAAGTTACACACCGTCGAGCGGTTAGGTCCCCGTGTTCTTAAATTGCCTTGCTGTTCTGTTGCAGTTGTTCAAATCAAACAGTTTGTTCAACAATGTCCTAAAATCCCAATATTCCAACTCACAAAAGGCATTCTGAACCCTTCGTCTGCAGCACTTACACGACAGTTTAAAACGCTCATTTGCACCGCAACGGTGGACTTCATAATTATCACATTCATCGCTCTGTACTTTCTCGGCTACACTCTTATACACACTGGTAACAAGATTGTGGCACGTATTGACATACTCCCCAAGGGTCTTTTCCAGTTCGCGTATTCTAGTCTTGAGAATATCTAACTTTGTTTTATCAGGAAGTTCCTTAAAACATTCATCGTTTTCTAAAGAGGTTAAAGGTAGAAATTTACTTTCTTGGAGTGTTTCGTTCATTATAGACTGGAGAGAGAATTTCTCTGCAATCATGTAGAATTTTACACAGTTGGTATCTTGAACATTGCAAGAAAGAAACTCGCAGCATAACTCTTTGACTCTCTCCATCTGGTATTCCTCAGCAAGTTCCAGCAGAAATTGATAATTTTCAGCTGCCAAAAGAAAAGTCATAGTGTGTCATGTAACCTCTAAATATAGGATATTACATGGAGATACGAAATTTCTCTTCGAGTGTTCGCGAACGAGTGAAATATTTTTCAACAAGAGAAAAGAAATTTTGCACCTCCAAGCGACCATGTAATTTTCTATATATCATATAAAAACCTATGAAATACCAAACCATTACACTTTCAACAACTGTAACATTTTTTTGCCGCGAAAGACGCGATTTATCATGTAGCCATCGCAACGGTGATTTTAAAAAAATAAGACTGCTGTATTACGGCATTAGTGTAAACGCGGGAAAGAATGCAACCATCATCAAGTGCAACAGTGCTGACAGGCTCACATGAAAGCATTCAACTAGTGCTAAACGCGGGATTTATGCCAAGCTAAGCGCGGAAAACATCGATGTATTGCTAAGACTGGTGACAAGCGCAGAGTAAACTGGTGACAAGATTTGAACATATAACATTAAGACTGTTGTCAGGAAAGAAAAATCAGGCGCGAGAAAATTTACAAATTTCTATCATTCACTACCTGTTACTCTTTGACCTTTCCCATGTGTGTACACGATTCTAAGGAGTACTTCAACCTCTGGGGCCTTTTTCCCAGGTAATTCTATCTCCTTGGCATCTTTCTCTGCGAAGTCGGATTTGAACATTTTCTCGAATACTGGGGACCATATTGAGAGGGTGCTCTTGTGAACGTGAAATTTGGTCCCATCCACTGACAGTACCACATCACTGAAGTGCCATGGCTGTGAGAAATCGGGGTTGTACATTGAATGACAGCTGTCAGTTACCCTGAAAAAATAGTTATTGTCGAATGGTTATACACTCACCTTTCTTCAATATTTGGAACCTTTGGGAGTGGCACTTAGGCTATGTTCACACTTACAGGGACTGCGAAACTGCCCGCCTAACCCTTCTCTTAGGCAACATTAACACTTACTTCTCACTTAGGGAAAAATGTTGGCTTAGGGGAGGGGTAGGTGGGCAACTTCCCAGAAACGTATAATGATCCTAGAGTGTTAAAAAATGATTGAAGCCAACCCCGTTCCCAGGTTCTATGGCATGGAACAACTCTGGGTGTCCGATTTGGGAGGGATTCGTTGAGAAAAAGTTGACGCTATGCCCGGTGGGGAGGGGGAGCGGAATTCAACAACGTTTCACGCGGGTAGGATCCATCTCGAGGACCAACCCCTTACCTTATATACCATTTTTGACGGAAAAGGTACCATTTTCGTAAACCTCCGTTGAAAAAGGGTACACTGTAAGAAAGTGGTACAAACTGGCTGCGAGCCTCGAAAGTCCCGATAATCAAAGGGCCTGTAAAATTGTTGTTGATTGCATGCAAGATAAAGGTTTCAATAGATTGGCATCTAACAAGATAAAACTATTAGTTAATGAAATAAAATGGAGTAGTTTTCTAGCCAGGACCCGTGCTATTTCACTTTGAATACTTGATTTCGGGCCCGAAAAACTTACCGGGGGTTTCGAGAAAAGGGCCCCTGGCACCAGGGTACGCGAGCCCCTTCTGAGGAAATCCTTTAAAACGGAAAAGTCGTCTTGTCATTACAAATTAAACGTGTTAATGAATTAAAGTGATTAACCATTGGGAAAGCATCTGTTCCGAGTAATTTCTAAATGACAGCTTTCCTTACCCTCTCGAGACTTGAAATCCCTAACCTTTTTAAAATTATGAGTTTACTATGTGTACCTAAAGTCCGAACTCTATGCGGTTAATGTCTCCACAAATTGGTTCAAGACCACGATCTTCTCAACCAGCGTAATACTGATAAATGACACTTGTACATCTAACTGTCGGTAGTGGCCCGCGAATTACATAAAACAAAACAAACAAAAAACGGAAAACAATACAACTCTAAGTACCTCAAAAACAATGTTGTCGCCTCGCATGGAAATATCTAGTATATATTTTATTAATGGAGCTGAGAATATCGCATTTCGCGTCTTCACCTTTTCCTCATCTAAATTAAATGACCTTAAATGTGAAGGTTGAATTTTTATCTTTTGTTAAAAATAGACGTCCAAAGGCATAGACAGTTTGACTGAAATGTCACTTTGTTGGGTATCAATCAAGTACAACCTTCAGGCTGGCATCTGCTTATGGTTTTT